TGTTGTATCAGGTAAGTTCTCCACATTCAGCATCACACAAACACACCTGTTTACTGCGTCAGACCTGATTCTCAGGTTAAATTCTGTTTGTATTTCTAGGATATTCAACAATGATCATGAATATCATCCGGTCGACTTTGGTGGTCTTGATGCTGATTCCTCTGCTGCTCCTGATTCTGTGGACGAGGTTCAACAAAAACACATCAATCACTTCAGTCCTGTAGTTTTAGTGTCGTGACTTGTATTGTGGTTCATTCTGTATTTGTTGTTGGACTCACTACAGGAAGAAGAAAGCTCTGAGCTCCACCACTGAACCACATGAACCTGTAGAGATAGAGGTGAGAGAGAGAGGCCCTGTTGACTCAACCTCCCCTTTGTGGTTATAAGTCGGCTCATAAACGCTCTGCAAAGTGAAGAAGATGTGAAGTGAATTCATGTTTTAAACACATCTTGATGAGTAGAAACCAGTGATGCATTTGTCCGTAACACAACTTAAGAAAATAAAGTACTTTTATACGTGCTCAAATACATTTTTGATGAAATGTAAATGAATGCAGGTCCATTGACTCTCATCTTGTCGTCTCTCTCCATCAGTTGGACTCTTGTCCTGAGTACGAGAACGACTCAAACACTGCAGCACAGACAGAAGACTCAGAGGAGCAGGAAGACCGGGTGTGAAGGTCAGTCAGCTTAGAGCCTCCTGCTGCGTCCAATGAAACGGGACGACTTCAGAGTCAGAGCCACAGCTCCTGACGGTAACTTCACACAAGTGTTCTGTGATTTTCTTCAGATGCGGTTGAACCAGAGGCGAGACTCACGTGATGGAAACAAAGAAGTACGACGTTGAGATATGAGTGTGGAGAGCGAGGCTGTGCAGGATGTGGAGGAAGTGGAGACACAAAGCTCCCAAAAGTTGTTCTTGTCAGTCGGTTTAGAGAAGATTTAGAAGAACGAGGTGTTGGCAGCTTGAACTGAATCATGTCGAGGTCACAAACTAGATGTGTTGTTTAGATCAGCTGATGGTCAGGTGCTGTGTGACTGACTGACTCATGACAAACTGCTGAAGATATGCAAGCTTTTTATTCTTTAGTTCTTTATATGACAGATTATTATTATTATTGTGACGATCCAGGTAAGATATTTCACTCGGGACAAAAGTGGAGCGACGACTGATTTTGGGAAAAGAGATAAAAAGTGAGTTTAGTGCCACCAAGAGATGCTGAAGTGGAAAAAACTGCAAAGCGCTGATATGAAAGTCATTCCAATGTAAAGACATCTTCATGTTCACTTTAAAGCAGAGTGCATGATGGGATCACAGAGAGGCAGTTCAGACCTCACAGTTCAAAGTGAGACCTTGAAAGGCTGGAAGATTTCTCAGCGTGATTAAATCTCACCTGAGGTCTCTGACACATTGAATGTGAATGACAGTCAGCAGCTTGTTGTTGCTGCTGCTCTACTGTTGGAGGGGAACATGTGTTTGATGATCTAGTTGTAGTTTCCAACTGTAGCCACTAGATATTAGTAAAGAGTTATATTTCACTGATAACAGAGAATGTACATTCATGTATTTATAATATATCTCCTCCACGTTCTGCTTCTTCCCTCTTTTCTATTTTATACCAGTTTTATCACCAACTGCTTTTATTGGGAGTCAAATATCAGTGTTATTAAACTCATTTAGTGAATTATTTGTATTTCCTCACCTGCTCATTACACTCATCTACATGCTTCTGTTTTATATTTCTCTATTTGTATTTGTATGTATTTAGATTTTACATGAATGTTTTGTCTTGCTTGAATAAAATACATAATGGTAGTTCTACTAAAAAGAGCTGACGTGTCGGTTTTTGCACTAATTTCATTCAAATAAGTTCTTCCTCTGTTTCTCCTTCCTCTTCGTCGTCCGTCTTTTGTGCTGCTGTTACATGTGAATGTCTCTCTGGGGATCAATGGAGTCTTATCTTCAGCCTGTTTTTGTACCATTGATTCTTTTCAAACCACCTTTTTTCTGCCTTTCACCAGTATTTTAATACTTCAAATACTCAGATAGATACTCAGGATTATTTCTCAGACCCTAGACGGTGACCACACTGAAGAACAGATCTCTTAAGATGCTCTTTTCATGTGTTAGTGTGGTGTTGTGAACTAGTTTCTCACGGTGAGAAGTTTAACCTACTGGCTCATGCATGTTAATAACCTAAAGAGGAAGGAAGTTCGGTGTATTTTTAAATAACTTGACTTCAGTCTTCTGCTTTCAGACGACAGTTATCTTATCAAGACAGCACCCTTCCTTCCGCATGAAGTGTTTCTGATGTGACTCCTTTACTCCAGATGTAGCTTCTTCACCTGCAGACGTGTTTCATTGACTCTGAAGTCTCTCAGAGAATCCAGAGGAGCAGCTATGAGTTTAACAGCAGCAGCGAGTGGATTCCTCGTCCTCCTCACTCTACCAGGTTCTGTATTTCTACATTCACGTCGTAGGATATTTACACAGAGTGAACGTCTCATTCAGTCGTTCTCTGGTCACCGTGTTGTGACCTGTGAAGTGATGCAGCGCCTGTTCTTAAAACTCTGCACGTCTTCAGATGTCTCTGCAACACAACACAGAGACGTGTTCTACGTAACGTCTCCACTGTAACCTCTTCACATTCTCATGATCATGTTACTGCACTTTTTAGAACGTTTTCAACTGAGATCATGTCCAGTTGTTACACATTGTACGTCATATGTTAGTACGTTTAAGTAAAGTAAAGGAAGGACAGCTTTACTTGGGTTTGATCTGTTCAAACTAACCTTTGATGGAGTGAACCACGCTCTGAGCACTAGTGAAGTGAGACAATACTCTCAGATATTTGTCTTCTTCCTCTTTTGTCAAAGTGGAATTGCCCAAACTGTCGTTGGTGGTAAGAGTGCATCAAACGTACACATTCATGGTCAGAGGCTAAATCAACCTAATTCAGGGAATTAAGAGACGTGTGCAGATCAGACGTCAAGGTGTTCCTGGTGTTATGTGAGGGACGTGCTGCACACGGTTAAAGGATTTAGACATGTCACAGAAAATATGCACTAAATAAAAGAAAATGGAAATAAAAAAAATAAAGATTTTTGGCACCAAAAAGTGCAGTAAAAGTATTTTATTCTTGTTGAGTTGTAGTGAGAGACGCGTATGTTGATGTGACTTTGTTGCAGTGAATCAGACTCTGTTGGTACCATGATCCTCTTTGTCTTAACTCTCAGGACGTTGGCAGAGCTTACGTCAGTCGTCCAATCTTGTTCCAC